GCTTTTACAAGCTTACAAAGTAGGATTGCCGTTGTCGTTATCTCCTAAGCAACTCGGGCATTCTTGCCGAAATTCAGGCCACGCCGTTCGATTGCAACGATTCGGTCCCATTCCGGCGTTGGTGGTAGCCTGCTACTCCGCGTCGCGCCCGCTACGATGCTACTTCTTGTTGCCGTCGATCGCCAAGCTGCATGAAGCATGAAGCGTTCTGGTATGACGCTTTTACACTTTTTTCGGACCCCAAAAACAGACATTTGGAGCTTTCAAGGTGGCATTTTCACGCGACCACTGGACAAAATAGGCTCCCGGCTAGCTTGGATATTGTTTGCTTAACAAGCGGGCAATCGATGATAGGCGAGTTTAGCGCTGGAAAGCGTATATAATCGATGGTAATGATACGGCCTCCCCGCGCATCTAGCTAAAAATTCACCAACTATCGTCGACGAAGCCACAGATGGACCAACGTGCTTGGATGGGTCGTGCAGCGTTACTTCGTTCTCGGGACGTGCGAACTAGCCAATCCGCCGCCATGAAGCGACCTCAACGAAACGAAGCGGTCACCTCCTGTCGTCGTTGTTGTTGAAGTGGGTCTTGCCTCCTGCCGTCGTTGTGTTGACGATCGCGATGCTCTTTTTCCGGATCCGGATAGTCAGCTTCAACGCTGCTGGGTTCCTGCCCACTCTCATACCGATGTGTGATATCTCTTACCAACCGCGATGACGTCGTTCACATCATCACGGGCATCAAGTCTGGTATGGAGAGCTATGGTGTGCTGCGCTGGTGTGCTGTGGTATGATGCAATCGTACTGGTATGAGGAGCAGCGATGGTACCCTGCGTTGTCGAGTGCGCCGGCCACCTCTTTAAAAGGCGGGGGTAAGTAATGCACACCGTTGAAGTATGAGCTGCACAGACTCCCGATGGAACACCGTAGCACGAACTAAGGCTCGGCGTTGGCTACTGGGTCCGCCCAGGTCCGCCCCCGTTCGCGCCGAAACCCGGTAAGGCTGCGTACGTGGCTGTATTTTGTACGGTTACACGTACATCAATACTGATATAGAGCTAAATTGTACATGGTACGATGTCATACCGTACACCGTACACGCAAAAGATACCGCTCGCATTTGACCGCGGTCATTCTGCGATCTGCCACCATGCACTTGAACGACATTTTCATCCGGCAACCTGGAGCGCCGGCCAAGATCCACCCG